TTTACGTGACCTAGTTTCTCGTATACCTGTTGTGTTCAGAGTCAACCTTGGAAGACACTATGGCAAGCTTATCCACATCCTGAATCAAGAAGTGGATCAATGAGCACTCGTCACTTTGGATCAATTCTATGATTCACCATTGAGATTTTTTACATTTCAAGACTTTCTGCTAGCACCAACACTTGAAAAGTTTGAGGGTTTGGTTGGCATTCCTATGAAGAACAAGTTACCGTTTATAGGGGTGGTTGTGTCTCTGAAAGATGAAGTTATAGTTGATGTCCTCCACGTGCACAAGAAAGATGTTACTGCTAATTGGAAGACTAAAGGAGGTGTCAAAGGATTCCTGCTTAATTTTATAATGAGAGGGCAGATACTCTTATAGAAGATCAGAGTTGGGATGCTTGCTTTGCTATTTTTGCCTTGGCTATTCATGGGATTGTTGTATTCCCTAACATGGACGATTTCATGGGCATGACTGCTATCCACATATTTTTTTTACAAGGAACCTTATTCCAACTCTATTGGCAGATACTTTCTATTATCTGATCTGGAGGAATAAGAAGAAAGGAGGATCAATTGCTTGTTGTACACCTCTCTTGCACTAATGCTTTAAAATGCATTTACTGACGAAGGGGCCATTTGTGGATCGAGTTGATGATAGTCGGGCTCAAAGGATGTGGTCCCTCCAATCTGCTAATTTCTCTTGGTATTCCCAAGACTATGATGAAGTTATCTCCAATTGTGGTGAGTTCCACTACATTCCACTTATTAAAACCCGAGGTTGCATCAATTCCAACCCTATTCTATCAGTGAGACAACTTGGGTATCCAATGGTGGGCCCTCTTGAAGAGAATGACTTGGAATCCTTCTTGATGCATGACTTGGGAACTAAAAATTCCAATTTTTTCAAGAGGATTATAAAATCTTAGAGAAGTATCAAGAAGAAAGGAAAATCCGACTTGGGAAGGAGAAATATCATCACAAAAGAGCCTTACTTCCAATGGGTTAATGATAGGGTGAAGGCAATCAAGATGCCTTTTGATACTAAGACACCTGATCCCCTTCCTGAACCTAATCCCACATGTCTCGGTTGAGGAAGTTGAAGAGTTTAAGGCTACCATATCTAAGTTGGTCAAAGAGAATGAAGAGCTGGAAGCAAAACTTCATCGTGTCACAGAAGAGAAATACAAGATGAAGTGGGAGTTCAACCTAAAGAGTAATCAACTGGGAACAATCGAAGAGAAGGTTATTGAAGAAGAGCATAAAAGGAAAAAGACAAAGGCGTGTATTGATCAGGTTGATAGTCGTTTGAGTGACCTTAAGGAAGAGTTGAAGTATGCTTGGAATGAATTCCAGAAGAACGAGGACTAGTGGCTTTATGCAACTCAAGAAATCAAAAGGATAAGAGATGAACTTGGAGCTGAAGTCAAATAGCTCATTGCTTATCTATGCCATTCAAGGGAAAAAGAAGCGAAAGAGCGTCATCTTAAGGAAGTAGCTAGACGAGCTTCCCAAATTACACCCGAGGCATGGGAACAGATTTGTAGGAATTTGGGTGATTCCAAGTGTTGAATATTGGAAGGATCGGTTTGATGCTTTGCTCAAAGATAGTGAGATATGGATGGCTGAAAGAGAAGAAATGGTTCACCATTATGAGGCTTATGAGCGGTATATGCTCTTCCTGAAGAATGATCAAGATATATGTCGCACGAAGCTCAATGGTTTGGCCGAGTTCTGTAATTGGTTGGCCAAGGATCTACCTTGGAAGCTCAGAGATGATATAGAGGCTATAGATGAAGATACCACCCCTCCTACTATATATAACTTCCTTTGCCTCTGCAAGGCATTTATGAAGAGGTTCAAAGAAGAGCTAGAGGAGCGTGAAGCCCAAAGGTCAAAAATTTGATGATTAATTATTACTATTCGTACCTTTTTCATTATGAGATGTACTCGACATTTAGATAATATGACTTTGTATTATGCACTTGCCTTATTAGTGAATGAATATGTTTTGGTTTGCTTTATTATCATTTGTTATATCCTTAGTATTTCTGAATAACTAACGACTAATTCAAACAATTTCCCAAAAAACCAAAAGGATACATACCACTTGCATATATGCATTGCATCATATCCATCACATATACATCCAGACATGCATACATGTGTTTTCAAACAAATTCTCATTTCGTTTCTCTCTCTCTAGTTTCCATCCTGAATCTTCAACATAGATACAATACTCGATCCCGCGCTCGCCAAAGGATGTCTGAACAAGAACAAGAGAACGCCTGAATCAGGTCAGAGCTGGAAGACCTTTGAGGGAATGTGAATCAATTTATGGAAATGATCCAAAGTTTGACAACTAGGAGCGAGCCTCCTCAAACTACTATTATCTCATAAATATCAGGGCCTTTTGTGAAGCCTCAAACCGTGAGGATTGTTCCTTCCACATGGACTTCATTTAGTCTACCTCATCATTTTGTGTCTCGGTTATAAAGAGTAACAGGATGGGGCAATCTGTTCCACAAGCAATTCATCAACTGTTATACACTGAAGCACATTCAGTCATCCATATTATTCCACCATTGATTGTTCCTACAAGGGTTGTACCATAGTTCGAAGATTATAATCAGGTTTATCATGTTGCTGAGTCATCAATTAGAGGTGATGTCGTGAGAGATGAAGACCTCTGAGAGGTAAAAGAAAATTATCAAATACTTGAGAAGAGACTCTGAGCAATGGAGGGGGATCAGGTTTTTGGGGCTGCTGCCAAGGAGATGTGTTTGGTTTCTAGCTTGGTGATTCCTTCTAAGTTCAAGATGCCAGAATTCGACAAATATAAGGGCATACTTGCCCAAAGAGTCATCTCATAATGTATTACCGTAAGATGGCTTCCCATGTGGATGATGACAAACTGATGATACACTGCTTCTAAGGTAGTCTGAGCAGTTCACCATCAAATGGTACTTGAGTCTTGATCAAAGCAGAATCAAACGTTTCTAAGACTAACCTGACGCATTCATCCAACATTACAAGTATAACATGGATATGGCGGCCGATAGAAGGAAATTGCAGAATATGTCTCAAAGAGATAGGGAATCTTTTAAAGAGTATGCGGAGAGATGGAGGGAGTCAGTCTCTCAGGTTGAACCTCCTCTAGCTGATAAAGAACTGCTAAACTATTCATGGACACTATGCAACTGCCTATTAAGAGAAGATGGTAAGAAGTGCATCCTGGGGTTTTTATGAACTTGTCGCCATAGGAGCTAGAATTGAGCATGGTTTGAAGAATGGTAAGATTGTGTATACTATTGTTGCTTTCAGTAATGCAAGGAAGAATCAAGGAGGTTTCCAAAGAAGACAAGAAGGTGAAACCGTTGCCTTGTCTAGCGGTCAGAGAGGAAGCCAGCCAAGGAGAAGGCCTCCATAACCTATTGCTTATCAACAACCATATGCGTTTGTGCGTTATTTTCAACAACCTTATGTGGCAGCCGTCACCCCAACGTACAACCAACCAATAGTTCTTTCTGGTTATCCACTTTATCCTCAATCGTTTACGCCAGCTTATTAGCCGCCACAAGTGGCTCCTCCGCCTCTGCAAGCTCTCCCAGTTCTAATTTGAAAAAGTTGGTTATTTGGATTTAAAAACTCAAAAGTATTAGGTTTAGAATTAAAAAAGAATAAAGGTAGAATTAAATGACCAAAAAAATAATATGATTGATTTCTTATTAAAATTGAATAAAAACTATATTTTTTTTTGAAATTTTTATTTATTAAGATTTTAAAAGAAATATAATATTTTTGAATATTTTTTATTTTTGGTTAATTTGATATTTAAAAATAATAAAGAATAGTTACTAAAAAAAATACCTAATTGAAAAACTAAAAAATAAAATTAGGGTAAACCAAAAAAGTCAACATTAATTTTCGTTGACTTTTAATAAAAATAAAGGGGGTCGAATCCACGATCTTGCACCTAAAGTCTTTGTCTTGCACCTAAAGTCTTTGTCCTACTATTGAGTGAGCTAACTTACAATTTTAATTTTTTTATCTTCTAAAAATAAAATAAAAAACATGCGGACAAAATTTAAAATGCGACAGCGGATAAAGATTGTCACGATGAAGAGAACGAACCTCAACGTCAATGAGAGTGATCATCGAAATAACTCTGAAGTAGGTGTGTTACAACACCTCAATCTGCGTTATACTCTCGGTTGAGATCATGGACAATTCTCACATTTTGTTATTGTAATATATTGAAGATGTTTTGTTATTGTAATATATTGAAGATATTCACGTTTAACTTCCTCCCCCTCACATTTATGTTCCTCCATTAATACATTTATTTCCCTTACAAATAGAGCACCAGTTTATGAGCTACAAGACTAAATAACAAAAAAGAAGGAACATTAATAAAAACATGCATCTTCATGGTTTGATTCAATTCCTCTTTTATGAAATATTCAAGGCTCCCATCCAGTATTTCGAGTCACATAGAATTTAATGAAACAATGAAAATTAAGCTGGAATAGCTCAGTTGGTTAGAGCGTGTGGCTGTTAACCACAAGGTCGGAGGTTCAACCCCTCCTTCTAGCGTTTTTTCTTCTTTTTGTTGTCTTTTTTTTCTTCTTTTTGTTGTCTTTTTAAAAAAATATTTTAAACATGCTGTTCGATTAGTTATAGGTTGTTTGTTAATTATTAGTAATTGCTATATGTGCTAACTACCCTGTAACTGTTATAGGGGATTTAGACTAGAGAAATAAAAAAAATGCTGAATGAAAAGGGGGGGATTCAGATTTTGGAGACTGGTTGGTTGGCATTCATCATTTCTTTGGTAATTTACAATTCCTATGTTGGTAATGTGGATTGTTGATGTTATATCAATGATAAAGAAGTTTTTTTGGTGTGTTTAAAATTTATTTCAACCAGTAATATCACAATCATTCAATAAATCACCCAAAAAAAATGACTGATAAACTAACATAATTCAGAACAATTAATTACAGCCTTCTCCGACAGATTTTAGAAATATGCCCCTTTTGACCACAAATATAACAGGTTTTGTTCTTGCCATTAGCTTCAAACTTCCTTGGAAAACCTGGCGGCGGCTTAATGTCAGCCCCCTTGATTCCTCCTTTATTGGCATGGTGAAATCTTACATTATCAGAAGGAGGTTCACCAACTTGTTTGACTCCATTGCGAGATTCTTCCTCTATTGTTATGCACTCCATTAACATCCAGAAAGGTAGATGCTCCTCGCGCATTAACTTGATGCAGAAGTCTTTCCATGATAGTGGAAGCTTTGAAATGATGACACTGACATGAAAGTTCTCCTCTATATGCATTCCAGCAGCAGCAATAGAGTCTGCAATGCAATTAAGTTCTTGAATTTGATCAGTAACTGCTTTTTCATCAACCATTTGAAACTCAATATACTTTTTCACCTGAGATCTCTTGGTTCCATATTCCTCGATCAGATAAACATATCTCAACTCTTCCCATAACTCCTTAGCACTCATTTTTCTATTTGCATACTTGTTGTATAGACTATCAGATAAATGGACCAAGATGTTGTGGCAACACATTAAATCATCATTTACCCATCTCTTTTCAGCAGCTTTGGTTTTAGAAATTTCTCCAGCACTAGCATTGTTTTCCCCTAACGTAGCATTTGGGCATGGCTCGGTAAGCACATAATTAATCTTTAACTGTTTCAAGAGTAATTTTATCTGTTCAGCCCAAACTTGGTAATTCTTCCCATCAAAACGGACGATCTCAATAGGGACGATCTCAATGGGCACATGCTCAATAGAGACAGGCTCAACAGGGACAGGCTCAATAGGGACAGGCTCAACAGGGACAGGCTCAATAGGGACAGGCTCAACAGGCACATCAGCAACTGAACTTGAAACTTCTCCATTTTTCGGGCCATTATACCCTGATCTGCATTATTTTGATTACATGCTCCAGGTTATACCAGTATATGAGGAATTAAATGACTAGCAACATATATTCTTTTAAGCAAAAAAGTGAGTGGTAAATACTCAGAAGAGTGCAGAAATTTCTCCAACTAAAATACAATATTGAGTATCATAGACAAAATATCAGGCAGTTAGTGTGCCATCAATATGCAGAGAAAAGAAGGGAAACAGGATTCTGCATATCTGTGGATCCCTCAACCATATTTTGACACTTGTGTGATTAATATTATTCTGAACTCAGAAAGTTTCACGATTCATGTATTCTCAAAACTCAGCAGTCAGCATTGAATACTCACCTTATCCTTCCTTCCAACTTTGTGATAGCTTCCTCGATGGCAGGAACGCTATTCTTGAAGTTTGACCATTGTTCAGAAGGTAAACTTATCCCTGATATCAGCGATAAAGAAAAGGAACATGTTTAGTTTCGGAATTTTAATCCAGTCATCAACAAAGAAAAAAATATATATCATTTCACTTTTACGAGACAAACCCAACTTCAACAAAGAGCAACTAGCAAGAAACATTACAATGAGGCTATCTTTCCATAAACTACGATGCATCAAGGTTATCTAATGGTGAGTCAAATCTTATTATGAATCGTAAGATACAAAAAATGAAATATGGCATTTGTGTGAAGACTTGCGACATAAAATTAAAAAGATAAGCTGGTGTATCATAAAATCTTCAAAAAATTTGATTTGAAACTCTGATTTCTTTTTGTCAAACCCAGTTTCACTAATAACACAGAAGAGCAACAAGTGAAACGAGAGAGCAAGTCTTTTAGCAAAACAAGGGAAGCCAAAAAACAGAGGAGGGAGGACACAGAGGATTATGTAGCATGAAGAATAAAAAACAACATCGTTAGAGGGAATCACTACCAAAAAAGCAATGTGCTAGAGCTGCGTTTGTGATTTTGACTTGGGTTATTGGAGGGTTTAATTTCAGCTATTTCTGTTCCATTTAAGGAAAACGTTTTTAAAATAAACGCAGAAAGGCATCGTCAGAACCGGGCCATATTACCCGGACCATTTTTGGCTTCACCTGCAACAATAGATATTCACACATCATCTCTCCTCTTTTTCCATTTCTGAATCATAGAATACATTCCATATTTGCAATTCAGTGGACATCAAATCAACCTAAGATTCATATGAGAGAACAATTCAACCTGCAATTTGCATTGGATGCAGTGTTAACCACGGGGAATAGTAGAGAACAAAAATTCCACAACAAAGCCTGACATATAGCGCTACCATATCGATATATGGCGCCGATCTCTTCACATACTTCACCATAGTGGAGAGGCTAAAACCCACCATGGATATCCGCTATGGTCGTTATTTGACAACATTGATTGGAAGGCTTCCATTATTGGATTACAATTTGTTCAATACCATTACTAACTACACTGATGTGCATGATCGACAGCCCAACACCCAATATAAGAAAAATAAGACGTTGACATTTCATAATAATGTCCTAAGCTAGATAGTTCTTGTGAGCAAAATCCAGTAACACTTACAACATAACAAATCATGCATGCCACCAAAGCAGATAATAATTCAAGCGAAAACAGATCAATAAGATGAACACAAGCATTAGAAACGTAAGCTTATAGTAAGTCATAACAATGTGTATCAATGAATGACCTTTAGTAGTGGGCTGTTGTTTTCCATCTTTTAGATAGAACTCCCTAATTGACACCAATGTCATCCCTTTGAAATCTCCAACAGTCACATTCCTCTTGTTTGATAGCTACAAATTAAGCAAGAAGCAACATCTATCAAGATCAGTGACTAGAAAAGTAGCATCTAATATTCAAAAATTCAACAAAATTTTGAGCATCTCTCTCCATCAACTCAAAATCAATGAAACCTTAAAAATTAAAAAAAAATAAAACCCTAAATATTACAAACAAAAAACCGAAAAGTTTAGGGCTTATAGATGATACGTTACCACCATGCTAATAACTGCATTGAATTAGGTTAATAATCACGAGGAAGAGTGATTGATTCACCTGACAAATAACGTGTTCGGAATCGTCGTTTTTGCGTTTCACTCCCACCACCTTATTGAGCTCTTGTGGCGGTTCATTCACTGCCTCAGTGGAAACTTGTGGCGGTTCCTCCGGTTTGTCGTCGGTGGCGATGGAGATAAGGTAAGACTCGATGATGTTTCTGACAAATAGTTTGCTGAGTGAGTCGGAAAGGTCGATACCGAGTCGTTCGGAAGCGGCGACTCGGACAGTGAACTCAGTGGTTTCTTCAATGTTGGATTTTTTAAGAATATCCAACACCATGTCTTCAACTTTTCGTCGAGTTTCATCTTCCATTGTGATGCAAAACTTATTTGGGGGGAAAGCAAAAAAATGTAGTTATATTAGAAATCAAATTAAAATGAAACGGTTTTTTTTGTTCTGATTCTGTTACTACTAACCCTATTTGTCGTGTGATTGGGAAACAATAACTTCAAAAAGTAAATAGAAAACCTAAAAAGGTTCCACCGAGAATTGAACTCGGGTTACTGGATTCAGAGTCCAATGTCCTAACCGCTAGACCATGGAACCGTTTTGTTGCAACACATGAAAGTTTTGTTATTACTCCCGTAAAGATTTTGCTCAAAATCAAGAATTTCATTAGGAATACTTAGGCTGGTTTGGGTTTGGTCCACGTACACCCCTATTTTTAATATTTCAAATTGATATATTTAGGAGGGTTTATTATGTATTTTAAAATTTTAATAAAAAAATTCAAATATTTATGGAAAATACAAAGCTATGATGAAATCATTTAAACTAGATAAATTTTAAAGCATTTCATTTTGAAAGTAAAATGAAGAATCAAGGAGAGAAATGAAACACGAAAAACGGAGGAAAATAGAGATATTCATGAAAAGCACGAGGAAGTGACATATATAACCTACATAGTGGCACTATCAAGCTATGTAAGACAAAAGCAACTCTAGTCAAACCCAGCGATGACCATGTTACTGTTCTTTCGTTTTAAAAGGTTTTCTCGATATTTTTCTTTCTCTCTTTTGGGGGATAAATAAAGTTCGGTGGCGACTCTAACGAACCGCGTTTTCGCGCCTTTTGCGCGAGGGCCGTATTATTCAAATGAATTTTTTGAGGTGCGACACTGTCCATACCTTCTAGTATAAGGAAGTATAATTGTACCATGTAACAATATGGGAGATTATTGTACTCACCTTCAATAGTATGAGATTATTGTACTCACCTTCAATATAGGAATCTTAATCAGAGGCAAGTGTTGCGGTTAGAATATGATATCAAATTATTAATTAATTTGAATCGCATCTTTAGTTCACAACCGCTCTTTGATTTATCCGAAGGAAAAGGTCAAAAGAAGGAAAACCTAATTTTTGCATCGTAAATAATGCGGGGAGAGATCTAGGTAAGGGGTTGGTTAGGCCTAGGAAAGGTATTAGCACCCTAAATTTCTGTAGTACACTACATGAACCTTTTGTTTAAATTTACTATTTGCTTTAATTATTTGCTTGAAGATATATACTAAGCTAAGGGTTATAGAGTGACATAGAAAGACCTAAGAGTTAGTCCTAAGTTTACTCGGCAAGATTCGCATCTTGTGCCTACGTATCCTGGGTAGGGAATGGAATCAGAGTAATTGTAGTTCCCCTTGAAAGGGAGGTTAGAAACTTCTTGACTGTGATCAAGGTTTCAATGAGGAATAAGCGTTCTTAAGGAAGCGCTTACATGGAGTGTGGCGACTCTTATTTCTAAACATTCCATGGTGGGAAACCCTAAAACGGAGTGCGGCGACTCCTTAACCTAATGCTAGGATAAAGGGTATTTTTGTCCACGGCGGGACACCTAGGCAAGATTAGGGTTTTGAAATGGTCAAAGATTAGGGTTATTGACTCGGCAGTCAAACGGCTAGACTTAATCCTTCTGAAGGACGTTAACGGTAAAAATGATGCAAACTGCAAATTACTACAACAACGATAATTGAAATACGGGGAAATAACGAAAGCAGTAAAACAGAGGTGCAAAGCGACGATCACTCACATAAACTACAACCATGGAAAAAAAAAGCAAAAAATAATAATAAAGACGGAATAAAAGCGACGATAGCCTCACATAATTACAACTGAATAAGGAAAATAAAGTAAAAATGTGAAATTAGTAACCAAGTACAAACAAGAGATATGAAAGTAAGATAATAATTAGCGGGAGTATTAAGCCTTTTTATTTTAGCATTTTTTAGTTAGAAGATTAGAAATGAAAGTGTGAAATTTTAGAAATTTAAAAATAAATAATGTTAGAAATTTATTAAGAAAAAGTTTGAGTTAAATTAAACATAATGATTTTAAAAAAAATTGTTTTTAAAAGAGGGTTTTAAATTTTAATTTGAAAAGGGTTTAACTTTTATTTAGTGTTTTACTAAAAAAGTGATCCAATTTTAATCTTTAAAAAAAATAAGTTTCTAATTCTAATTAATGATTTTAATTTTGAAAGAAAGATCTAAATTTTAATAAATTCTAATCCTAATGTTTAATTACATTCTTTGTTAAATAGTTTAATTAAAACTTTAACTCTCATTATTAATTACCAATAAAAAAGAAATAACTAAAAGAAAAATAAAATAATAAGAAGAAATAAAAAAAACAGTAATAATAAAGGGGGAGGGTGGATCGTGTTGCTGTGCTTTTCTTTAGGGTTTGGGAAAAAACCCTTTCCCTTCTTTAGGGTTTGGGAAAAAACAAAACCCTTTCCCTTCTTCTTCCCAACCGGCGGCGGCTCCTCCATGGCTCCTTTTTGAAACTTCCTCTTCTCTCCTGCTTCGCCTTCGTCTGTTCATACCTGAAACCAAATAAAACAAAATCAAACCCATTAATGTCATAATCTTACGTTTTGGGTGTTTCGACGACGAGGTGGTGGTGTTCTTGGCCGGTGATGAAGCTTCTTCTGAGGCTTTTTGCTTGGTTATTGTCCGCCGGTGGTAGTGAGTCTCTAAAGGATCCACGACCGCCGTTGGATGATCCTTGTTGGTGGATCTTCTGAGTTTTTCTCAAAACTCTCTTCTTCCTCTTTCTGATGACCTGTTCTTGATTTCTGATGTTGATAAAGTTTTCTCTCCCTTTTCTCAAATACAACTTATGTTTATATAGGTATCAAACTAGGGTTAACTCTAACCTAATGTTCATTTTAAAGCCCAACTCAAATAATTATTTAAAACTAACTAAAATAAAATAAAATTAAAACTAATAATTCTATTTATTTATTTATTCTAACTATTTAGACAAAAAATAAAAATAACCAAAACTCAAATAAATAAAAGTTGGACGCCCAAGTGCTCAAAAAAATAAAACGAGTACACTAAAATGATCAGCGCCAAACATACGACTCGGAAAAATACCATTTGGCCAGATTTTGAAATAAATTTTACTCGATAAAATGACTTAAACTGTCCAAAATGTCACCAAAAAGTGATCGAAAAATTTAATTGAACACGTCAGGTTAAACTACGACAAACGTAGATTAATATAACTAACGTTTGCAGGCTCGACTTTAAAATTTTATGTCCGCTGATTTTTCACAAAGTTGACTTTTAGTTTGACCGATTCAACTGTAATTCCGACAAGTTTATTTCAGCTGATAAATTGGGTATTATGAAAAATGACAGACATGATATGCTATACAGGCAATGCAAGAAGAATATGGGGGTAAACTTTGGGGTGCAACAGATGCCCCTATTTAAATAGCTTCACCGGATGAGCGAAGGCGACTCAAGGAATCACAATGGAGGTATTTAAATACATATAACCGAAAATTTTGCTCTCAGATGCAGTGATGTGCAATGCTATGGACAAAACAAGGCTGACAACACCATGAATCTAGTATGATGCCTATGATGGAACTAATAAATGTGAGGATGCAGACGACATGACGACACAGGGACAAACGCGACGAACAAACCACTGGGGAATACGACGCACTGGGGAAACAACACGACACTGGGAAATTCTAAAGTGATGTTCAACTTGTGCAAGCACGACTAATTGTCACTTTAGAAAGAATGGTAAGAATGAGATCCTCAATGGAGATGGCGCCGACGAGACGGCCTCCACTAGGGAATATCTAGGATCAGGTAAACTACAAGCGCTGGAGTTTTCGGGACGTTCCTTTAAACGAAGAGATCAAGCGGGATCTTCAAGAATCATCGGAAAACATATAGAGAGAGAAAAAGACATCAAAAACATCCGGAACATTTAGGAAAACATTAAATGTACAGGAAGAGTTTGAAGACGTATCTGGAAGAATATCAGATAAGCAACAAAGAAGTTCTGGAAGAACGTCAGAACAAAAAAACTCAGTCTGGAAAAACATCAGAAGGAGAGACATATCCAGAAAACATCAGAAAGATTCTGGAAAACCATCATAAGCGAAGGAAAATACCTGGAAAACCATCAGATAAGTTCTGGAAGAAACATCAAAACAAGGACTCGATCTGGAAAACCATCAGAAAGAGAAACGTATCTGGAAAACCATCGGATAGATTCTGGAAAATCATCAGAATCAAAGGAATATCTAGAAAACCATCAGATAAGTTCTAGAAGAACATCAGAACAATGACTCAATCTGGAAAACCGTCAAATAGAAAAACAAATCCGGAAAAACATCGGAAAAATTCTGGAAAACCATCAGAATCAAAAGGAATATCTAGAAAACCATCAGATAAGTTCTAGAAGAACATCAGAACAAAGACTCGATCTGGAAAACCGTCAAAAAGAGACGTATCTAGAAAACCATCGGATAGATTATGGAAAACCGTCAGAATCAAAGGAAATATCTGGAAAACCATCAGATAAATTTTGGAAGAACATCATAACAGAGACTCAATCTGACAAACCATCAGAAAGAGGAATAAATCCGGAAAACCATTGGATAAGATTCTGGAAAACCGTCAGAATCGAAGGAAAATATCTGGAAAACCCTCAAATAAGTTATGGAAAAACATCAGAACAAAGAGACTCAATCTGAAAAACCATTAGAAAGAGAAATAAAAATAAGGGTACCAGACATCCAATAATGTCTTTGGATAAAAGGTATAAACATAATACATGAGAATAGTATTAGACGTAAAAGGAACAGACCTATCCGGAAGAACAATCGGATAAGAAAAATGCCATATATGGAAGAACATCAGATAGACACAATACAAAATTATTTGGTAGGTGCCAAGTAAGTTGGACTTCGACCACAAGGTAAGACCTGGATAAAACACGACCTCGGGAGAAATGAAAATGAGGATGAAACACTTATGTTATGCATATGTATATGAATTATGCTAT